ACATTTCGCAACAAAAGGCGAGACAAATTTCCCAAGTGGTGTGTATTTCACACTACGAGTTCCACTCTCGTATAGCTCTGTGTCTCCGAAATTTACGTGTGAACTTTCAATTCCTTATTTTCATTTGTAAATATATTTTCGAGGGTAAAACTTTTTGTTATAAAACTGAAGTAATAAACAAACTTAAAAGTTTTACAGGTAGAGTGGCTTCTTTAGCCCATGAACACCAGCAACCAATTTCATACATAAAGGGACACGTACGTTGTCACTTCTGATGATCAAGATAAAATGGCTCAAAGCCTTTAATTGTTCCCGAACATTATATTCTTCTGATTGGAACACAGTGTAGTGGCAGTGTAAGAATATCCACTACCCCATATCGTCCCGTGGGTGTCGTAAAATCCGACAGAGGGAAATTAAAACAGATGATAGGCAACAGCATCTTCGTGATAACTCAAAATAAAAATAAAAAACTGCGGTTGACAACACGCTCACCAAGCGCGTCAATTATGGCAAAATCCCCCCTATGCGGCAATCTATAGGTGAGGCCTATGTTCAACATTGAACTCTTATAGGATGTAATAGATGGATGGATTGTAACACAGTAGCGTAAGCACTGATGCTTCTGAGCAGAAAGAGATAAGAGGGTGTTATGTAACTGGACGGAAAAGGAGTCCCTACTATACATACACGAAGGATTTGCAAAAGGTCAATTACAATAATAAATTGAATGAAAATATCCTCTCAATGAAAATGGATGCATTAACCACAGAGAACACCGTATAGAAGCAGCATAAGAGAATCCATAAATTCATATTTTCTAATGGACGTCGTAAATCAACTTTTTTATATAGGATAAGGGTGACAAACGAGCACACAGTCCACCTGATGGTAAGTGGTTGCTGCGGCCCATAAACATCTACATCTATCCTCTATTACAAATCAAAATGTAGATTTGTTGTCACCCGTGAGGACTAAGATGGAATGCCTCATTTCCAGTAAAAAGGGCCTCCGGCCACCTGCACTCACCAAGCAAAACGCAGAGGTAAAAAACTTAGGAAAATGGTCCGAAGATATTGTGGTCTCCGATAGATAACCATTTCGTATTTACGCTAGTTTAGAAATTAGAGAAAACCTGCTCCAACAGTGGGATGTATACGAGCCGTAATTCTACTTTTTAATTTAACTTACTAGTTCTACCTTACTTACTCTATTGGACATAGTGCTAGATGTCTTATACAGTGATCAATATTCCTGCAAAGCGTGGTGATTGTGGTAAATATATGGAAACGGTCCCGCCCATCAGTAGACTGATAATGATTTGACAAGGATAGGTACTTTATTGAAGAAAGTTTCTCCCACATTTTATGAAGTTTAATGTAGTTATAACAGCAGATTTTATATTTACCGGTAGAGTTTAAAAACTGCTTCAGTATTAGAAAGAACAAATGTAATTTACGGAATAACAGCACAAAACAGCGTGTAAGAGCAACGTGATGCTGTTAGGATGGTGAGTGACGATAATAATAATAATAATAATAAAGGTATTTATTTGCCACAAAACTAAACAATGTTAAAATTTAAATAGACAGCTTAATAATAAATTGTGACAAAACGGTCTGTGACTCAGTTGTAACGGGAAACCCATTACTTCTGCTATTCTGCCACAGCCTTTGCGCAGTATACATACAGGGTCTTAGGCAAGTGATGAAAATAAATAAATAAAAATTCAAATAATAAATAATAAATACTAAAATTTGCAATACAAAATACAAGAATGTTCACCAATTTGACGGGATAGCAGAACTACTCAGAGCCAGGGACTGTTGTTGAATCAGCCACTTGCGGCATCTTTGCTGGTGAATTTAAAACACCCCCTGGCTCCAGCGAGTCTAATTCTGGGTATTGGAAGCCGATGACATTTTTCTCTGACCGAGAGCAAACTTTTTTGTTCAACAGCTATCTTATCGTATAAATATCTTGGAGACGCTGTGTGATACAGTTTATGCAGAAAGCAAGCATATTTTGACTTGGTACAATTGGACATATTTAAAATGCAATTAATGACTAAATAAGGTGAAATCCTATGCCTTTTTGGTATATTAAAACAAAAACTCATGCATGCGTTCTGCATTCTCTGTACATTCTTCGCAGTTTTTTTTTAAATAAGCAAGGACCATAAACAATATCACAATAATGAAGGTGGCATAGTATTAAACTGTTACAAAGCAGCAGTCTAATGTCACGTTTTAGGAATTTGCGAATTTTATACAAATTTTTTAAAGAACCATAGCATTTGCCGATTTTTATCTGAACATGTTGTTCAAATTTTAATTTCTCATCCATGAGATCTAAATTGCAAACACAACCCTCGTAAGGTATGATGGTGTCAAAGATTTTAACATCAGGCTTCCGTGCATTAATCGTTTTTATCTGGTGATTTGTTCCAAGTGTAATGGTAACATTCTTTGAGGGGTTGAGTACCAGACCATGTCTCAAATACCACTCCGAAATAGAATCTAGATATTTGTTTAGCGTGAAAATAGCAACAGCAACTTCCTCATCAATTGGCATTGTGTGAACATATACTTGGCTGTCATCTGCATATAAATGAATTTTCGAGTGGGTTATTGCTTTTCTAACGGTGACCGTGTATATTGCGAATAATGTGTGACTAAGTATCAAACCCTGGATAACACCTTTCATTAAGTGGGAGCATGTTGGAGACCCTAAGCAGTCCTTGTCTATCCAAACTTTGCACTTTTTGGCAACGATTACGGAAGTAAGATTGAAACCAGGTGCAGGCCAAATCTGTGAAACCATAGTATTTTAATTTTGTCAATAGTACAGATATATCAACGCAATTGAAGGTGCGGCTAAAATCTAGCGAACACTTTTACTGGTAACGAGGTATTCTATCTTAGGCCTCAGGGGTGGCAGTGCATGCATTTTGTTTGTTAAATGAAGATAGTTGTAGCCCTTTGGGTCATAGCCTTCACCTACTATCTATTCTATTAAGTAGATTAAGTATAAGTTTGTTCCCTGTCTTTTACAAAATAAAATCTAAACGTGTACTGTAATTTTTTTGTGATTTTTCGGGATTACAATTCCTGTATGCGGCTAAATGCTCTTTATAAAATTGCGACCAGTCTGACCCACGTAAACAAATCACATTTTGTTAAACATTTCTTGGACACTGGACACAGCCTAGCCAATGACCACTCCTTTAAAGTCTTACATACTTGCAATAAATGGGTTCCACCGCTAGAATAGTTAGAGATATAAAAAAATAATAGCGGTAACTTTGCACTGCTGAGTGAACAAACAAAGGTTTCCAAATCGCCTCTCTTAAACATGTTTAAGCCTGCTCCTTGATGATATACAGCCTCGCAACATGGTAGTTTGTCACCCTCACAGTGTGGTGCCCAGCGATGGTTAGCGTGGTTGGAGGGTACGCGGACGTATCACAGTAGTCTGTTGTTAATTTCACAGCAAATATATGCGTACGTCAGGTGGGCATTGATCGCATGACGTAATCGCTCTCTACGTAAATGGAGTGCGTTTGCGTCAGCAAGTAGTATAAATAGCAGTAGTTTTGGTTCTACTACTTCACCTGAGGATGCTTCGTGTAGAGGCGAAACGCGTGTCGTATTTTCGAGAGTGGTGTGTCGTGCCTAGTGTGGTGGTGCTGGGGATGGTAATGCTGGGATCGTCGGTGGCGGTTATAGTGCGCGCAATTGAGGGAGGGTGGGAGGTGGAAAATGACGGCTAAGCTTAAGATTCCCTAATTTTTTTTTTGATAAAATTGTTTATCCTAGTGTGAGTACACTAAATAATTTAATTTAAAAATCAAAATTGAAAGCATCTATAAAAAGAGTCACGAAAATATTTGGCAGTGCAACACTTGTTAATGTCATTTTTCTTTCAGTAATAAAAATTATCTTGTTAAATAAATGTTTTTATTTTATATGTTACTTTGTACTGAGTTTGTACATAATGTTAGTAAATGATAATGAGTTTAAATATATCCTAAATTATTTTATTCCCAATTTCGTGACATACCCTAGCATATTTGCGACGAGGGCGTAAATGTAAGTACTTACGTGGGCGGTGGCATCACATGACATCAAAAGCACAGATGTTAACTCTTTAAACTGTGCTGTATCTTATTGTAATTAAAACTATGTTTCTTATAAAACCTAAATTCTTTAAGCGTAATTAATTTAAAATAAAAATAGGTAAAAAAACTTTTTAAGTTAAACGGTTTTATGTTAAACATACATTGCAATGTTTAAGATAAATGTACTAAAAACCAAAAAATAATAAAATAGATACAGTCGTGGGAATTATAAACATATGCATAGACTAGACTAAAATAAAACCGTGGGGCACGTCAATTGTCTACAAATTATCGACTTAATGTGCGATAGAAGAATCGTTTAATTCGTCGTTAAAATAGGCAGTTGGCCCGCAGACGGTGAGGAAATTACTTACTATTTTCTTGCTCATGGAAATTCCAATAGTTATACACTCCATGTAAATAAAAGAGATGCTTCAACTAGTTTATCGCTGGACATTCACACTGCTGGCTGGCGAGGAATCGTTTCACTGCTCGTAGTTTGTCTTTAATCGACAAAACATATGATAAAAGTACTACTCGCTCACCACTATGAAACCCTAAAACTCGCTTATAATCGAGCTTGCTAGCTTGTTTCCACATTCTAGCCCTACTTATCACACGTCCATCGTTGTCGGTTGAATAACTGCCTAATTATAGTGTAACATTACAAAACAAACATTTTAATCAACGATTGTAGACAATTGACGTGCCCCACGGTTTTATTTTAGTCTAGTCTATGCATATGTTTATAATTCCCACGACTGTATCTATTTTATTATTTTTTGGTTTTTAGTACATTTATCTTAAACATTGCAATGTATGTTTAACATAAAACCGTTTAACTTAAAAAGTTTTTTTACCTATTTTTATTTTCTAGTTTTTAGTTTTTATTTCGCATTCTGTTTAATTCATTTAGTGCTTCATTATTGCAAGGTTTCTTGCCCGTTAGTTTATTGCAGTCCAACTCCTCTATACGTAGTCCCTGCAAAGATCTTACTCTACTAAGAGCCACGTAGGCTTGACCTTCTTCAAACAGTTTCGCACCTAAGTATACGACTGCGTGATCCACAGTGCTGCCCTGCATTTTATGTATTGTAGAAGCCCATGATAGTATTAAAGGCAACATTCTTCTTTCAGCCGTCCCGTAATTGTACTTAGCTGGAAACTGTATGGCTTTCGGGTGTATAAGATGTACTCCGTCTCTTGCGAAATCAATTCGGACGGAAGGTACATCTGTTGCATACATCTGAGTTCGACGAAATTGAGGCCAAACGATTTCGTTGATGTAGCCTATAGCGCCATTTACTAATCCTTTTGAAACGTCAATATTGGACCGTAGCATGACTTTTGCCCCCACAAATATTTGCAGTTCCGCTGGTAAACCCCCAGTTTTGTTGATATCAGCTGGTATTATAGTAGCTATATCCACATTGTCTGCATTTCGTGTGGCGTGTACTAGCTGATCCTGCGCTTTTATTTTGTAAATGCGAGCACCATTATTTCTGTACAAATTCAATACAGCAGAGTTGTGGTCGTTAACTTGTTGATTTGTGGGGTATACCCTTAACGCTTTGTCTATTGCAAACTCATCACTCAAGTCTTGAAGAAGTCTTCCCATTAAAATACTAAAATGTTGTCTGGTCACCTTGCTGACGCATATTTTCAGTTAATTCACACAGCGTGAATAAACGCCAGAGATGTGTAGCTGGTTGGAGATGTTCTGGCTGTTTGAAAACAGGTGTTCCTGATCGTTTTATAGGAGGCAGTTGTAAAAGATCACCGAAAAGTAATACGTTTACTCCTCCAAAAAACTCATTTTCACAGTTCTTAATTTGCCTTAATCGAGCGTCCATCATGCATAACATTTGATAAGACACCAAGGAAATCTCGTCGACAATCAAAAATTCTGTCTGATGCCATTGTTGCCTCATTATTCGCAAATAGTTTCCGGACAGTGGTGACATACCTGTTATGCGACCGTCTTTCTGTACAGGCAATTTTAAAGTACTGTGTATCGTAGCTCCATTTATTAATCTAGCTGCAACTCCTGTTAGTGAGTAGACTTTAACCGCATCCTTTGCGTAGCACCTATTAATTTGGTCTCGTAATAACTTTAATAGAAAAGTCTTGCCCACACCAGCTCCTCCTGTAAAGAATATTTTTAAACGTTCTTCAGCACCTGACATTTGATTTTGTATGGACTGGGTAACTAATGTAAAAATTTCCTTTTGTCCTGCATTCATAGACTGCTTAGCCTGTAAGAACTGGTCTTCATTCATTGGCAAATAAGGAACTTCTTCTTCATGGTCTAGTTCCATCGGCTCTGCGTGATCCAGTATCTGAAATGCGTGTACTTGCGCGAATGCATTTTCAAGCTGCCTGTCACGTTCACGATATATTTCCAAGTAGGCGTTTGTTTGTCTTAAACTTTCTTCGTTGGCGAGAAACGCATCTCTGGCACTATTAAATTCTCCTAAAAGTTCGGCCTCATTGCGATACGGCATATACTGGATTAGTAAACTGTAATAATATGACTCTGGATCAGAAGCTGCTACGAAGTTAGGTACCCGTACTACAGCTGGCGTGTTTCTAATAGTCATTTTGGTGTTGTCTGTTAAAGTTATAAGACGCCTTCTTGTTGTTTGCTCGTGCGGTGCATAAGCATCGGTATCGATGCTCTCTTCATTTATAACTGGCGGTTTTGTGTAGTGTGGCTCAAATAACATCGCAAATTCTATGAGACACATATTGCTAAAATCATAGTTGGGATGCTCTGCTGGTCGCTTTTCATATCGTTCGAAAATATTGGCACAATATCCTGCTGCTTGACCAGCTTCATTAAACTTCAACACTTTATACCTTTGTTCCGCTTTACGAGTATTGACAAAAATTGTTTTTCTCGAGCTGTCACGCATACTCAAATGGCATAGCCTGAATACGCATTCGCAGGCTGAAACTTGACGTTCTCTTAATATGCGCATGCATATTTTAAACAGCTTACGCGAGACGTCAGTTTCTTCTCTTCTAATTTGTTGAATAGCTCGAGATACTTCACCATCTAGGTTTGTAGGTTCTGATTTTGACACGTATTTAGCGATGTAATACGCAATCGACTCATTTGTACCACACGGTTGTATATCCATATTGGCTTTCCACATTTTTAGCAAAGCAGGACTGTAATTATTTACCCAACCATCTTCACTTTTTCTTTTCAGAACGCAAATGCGACCACCGTTGTAGATGAATTCGTTAGATGAAGGATCAATAACATGTGTCTCTAAGCATTCCGAGCGTGGAAATTTGAAACGACAAACAGAATTATTTTTCGTGCAGGTACTAGTGTGTCGATGTATTTGACAATTTTTAACTAATTCATATAGTTCTGAAGTTTCTGGAGGAATGGCAGTACTACAGACTGAATCAATGCGAGCTATTCCTTCAGGTGTCGCAACAGACGGGTGATCTTCGATCCAAACAACCATATGCAAATGAGGACTTCCTCTGTTCTGAAACTCGATTCGCCACCAATGATCTTTAACTTTACCGCCAAATATTTCAGTATCAGTTTTAAGAAACTGCATTAGCGCATTAACACGTACCATAAAATGTCTACTCACAACAACTGGATACATCTCGATGAGTCTCTGAGTTTCCTGAATATCTATGTCATCTGGGTCAATGTGCTGTTTACCATCACTAACAAGGAGACCTCTTTTCATATCCTTCCAGTGAAGATCATTGCAGCTCAATGTAACAAAATAAGTGGGAGGTCCTAAACATCTGATTTGTGCTATAAGATCACTAAGAGCACTACGCCAATAAGCAGCGGAACCTCTTAGATTTTTTAAATATAAGTGCAGGTCTTCCACTCGATTGCCGTTTTCACCTTCAACTTTTCTAGCACAAGCTGCAATGGTTGATTTAACTCGATAGTACTCAAACATTGATAGAGCATAGAATAGGTAATCGTTGCGCTGAAATCTAACATCAGCACCTAATAAACGAAATTGATAGTAATCCAAAGGACTTATATTTACGGGCCGTTGTTCTTTCAAACCATTTTTACCATACGGGAAAAGCTGATACCATGCGAACTCTTCTGCTTTTAACTCATAAGCTTCATTCACAATATTATTATTCGTCTTTCTTCTGATTTCGTTTACATTTTCAGATACCTCTAGCTCATCTTCAACATCAGGTTGGACGCTATCAATAGGCAACATTACAGATGTTTGTATAGATATAGTTTCAGATCTCAGATTCGAAAGCGGTTGTTGTACTTGTACATCCTGATGAGTGATGGCATCTTCCTGTTGCTGTACTTGAACACCCTGACGAGTGATAATATTTTCCCTCAAATGTACGTCTACGCGTGTAAGGGTGTACGCGATATTACGGGATCCGAGGCATCTTTTACAGATGCGGCACAGTTCTTGTAAGTTGTCACATTCTATAACACAGGCTTTGCCATTTTCTGGTGTTGGTTTTCCTTTTGGGCCACAAGAATGGGAGTCAGCAAAATAGTATTTGTCTTCACCGCGAAATACGCTAACAGATTTATTTGACGCTGTCAATATTCCTGAAGAATGACTATCAAATAATCTATTTAAAGCTGTATGTAATGTAATGCCGATATTATTGGTATTTACAGAATCTTGGAGACTCCCGAATAAAAGAGTGTCTTCATCATATTCTATAGAAAATCGGCATTCATACATTTGTAAACTTTGCCTGACGATATGAAAGTTTCGTATCTCTAAATATCCTGTTTCATCCAGTTCAGTAGGATCAAGCTGGGTACGAATCCAGCAATATAAGGCGTCACCCGCTAACATATTAGCATTCAGAATATTGACGTCCCATTGATTAGGGCTTAGGATTGCAGCTTGGACAATGTTCGCCAACGACATAGCACTACATTGTACACCAGCATATCGCGAAGTAAAGACGTTGTAGTCACCTTGATGCCATGAAGCTCGAATAATTCTTGCAACATTATTAATTGGAATGAATGCATTTCGAATTTCATTTTCATTTCTTTTGGACGCTTCATCTTCAGACAATTCGGGCACACTAAGTCGTACTAACTCCTGGTCACTAATTTGGGCATTATCGTTAATACGTACATCTTTGTAAAGCGGGTTATTTCTGATTAACCATCTTAAAGCACTATAGACTTTTTCGCGACATATTGTGAATTCTCTGGTGATGTTCAAATTTTCTAATCGTTCGGTTACTACAATAATGCCTACCTGGCTTGCAGATCTTGGTAGCATACTAGGCAGTCTTTCACTGACTTCAAAGATATCTTGGGCAAATAAAACTGCCTGTCCGCGAATACCGTACTGCCCATAGAGGCCACTCAATTTCACGATTTTAACAAAGGGAATTATTCTGCACAGCAAACGTTGTTCCGCCTGTGTCAATGTTTGAATAACGTCTGGTATAGAACCTGGATCCAGATTATTCCAGTAAGCTTTTGGTGGTGCTGTTGTTTTATTACTAGTAACATGTGTTTGACAGCGGGAACATAATAACAATGATATTTTCGAAGTTAACTCCACAGGTAAGTATGTTAATGCAGCAGCGTTGTACCGAACTGTACGAACTTGATTAGGATAACAACGTTTGGTACAAATATCACAAACATGTATACAAATTGTGTTAATAGCATTCTCGAATGTCTGCAGACTATTAGCTCTGCATTGCTGGGTACGCTCTCGTTGTTTATTTAACCTCGTATCGCGATGTTCAGGCGTTTCTGAACCCAACTGCTGTCTTTGTCTTTCACGGCTTTGTATTAATCTAACTTCATATTCTTCAGGCGTTTCTGACGCTACCATCTGTGTATATCGCTCCCGTTGTTTTGTTAACCTGGCTTCATATTCTTCAGGCGTTTCTGACGCTATCATCTGTGTGTATCGCTCCCGTTGTTTTGTTAACCTGGCTTCATATTCTTCAGGCGTTTCTGACGCTATCATCTGTGTGTATCGCTCACGTTGCTTTGTTAACCTGGCTTCATATTCTTCAGGCGTTTCTGACGCCGTCATTTGTGTATATCGCTGACGTTGCTTTTTTAACCTGGCCTCATATTGCTCAGGTGTTTTTGACGCTAATTGTTCCCGTCGTTTCTGTAATCGACTATTTCTATCACCTTCACTTTCTTTAGCTCGTTTTGCTTTATACTTTTCTTTCGCTTTTTGAAGCCTTCGTTTACGTTGTGTTGCAGTTTCTGTTTTATTTGTGTTTGTATTTTTTATATTTTTTTTTACCATTTTGTTCCCACGAGTAATGGACATTTAAACGGTCGACCCCCCCAGAGGTCCAATAAAGGGGCAAGGCTATGTACAACAAGATGCGCCTGAGTCTTGAGGGGAAAACGCTAACGACATATCATTTTTATCCACCCTAATGCCATACAGTTCTCGGCGCGTTTTAACCTTTCACCTTAACTTGGGTGGTGTACCGCTAACGACGTATCATTTTTAGCCACCCTAACGCCACACAGTCCTCAACACGATACAAAATCTTGACTTGGGTGGTGGATTCAGACTGGATTAATCAGATACCTAAATTACAGATTCAATTTCTAAATTTAAATCTTATTATTAGGCCGCCATCTTGGATTTTAATTTTATATAGTACATTGTATTATACTGGTTGAGCACTTTCATTTGATACCCATATTGATGGGATCGATAAAACCTACGTTATCCGCCATTTTGTAGCGGCCGCCATCTTGTATTTCAATTTTTTATAGTATATTGTATTCTGCTTGTTGAGCCCTTTCATTTGATACCCATATTGATGGGATTAATGAAACATAAATTATCCGCCATTTTATAGCGGCGGCCATCTTGAATTTATAATGATAATGAATAAACATAATTGTATTGTCACCAAAATCCAAAGTGTATACAAAATTTCAGATTAATCGGTTGACAGGAAGAGGGTGAAATTTGAATTACTAAATTTGACCCAAGAATAATAAATAAAACAAACGGGGTGAGCTAAATAAAACCGTTTAAAAAGAACATTACTTACCTAAAAAATAATTTTAATATCTCATTTTTTATTTAATTTATGTATAGTTTTTATAACTTCAATATCCATTTCAGCAGATACGTATTCAATTATAGCATATTATTAAGTTACGCCGCCATCATGCTATTTTCGTCCACTATGCAAATTGAGTTTATAAGTTCGTTTGTCAGGAGCTGAGAGTGCGTTGATTAAATTAATGCGGCTAAAACCCGTTTTGTTTGATAGTATATCGTGGATAAATTAATTTCAGTACAATCATTCAGATTAAGTCAGACTTTAGATTACTATTACGTACGGTTCTTTTTGATAACATTAATTTATTTTAAATTACAATAAGCGCGTATAGTTTTGGTAAATATTAAGTAAAACAGTGGACATTTTTCATACTAAAGATGTTGTTAAATAACTATTAGTTGTAGTAGTTATCATGATTGTGATCATGAAGTTTTATAGTTAAAATTGTTTATAATTAAATAATTAAAAAACGTTACATTAGCAGATATATACAATTTAATTTTACTTGCAAATAATCGTATTTTCAAAATAAATTCTTACTGGCCAGCGCTTTCCATAAGCTGGCCCTAGCGATGTCCCTAAGCATTACACAAAAATATACTTGTTCTTATCGGTGTAGGTGTGTAATCATATAGTAGGTATATAAAGGCCAAGTATTGTAAATGTAAATCCTCTGTCAAACTTTAAAATGACGGCAAATGATGCTCGAAGTGGTCTATGGTTAATAGTGGCATTTGTGGGGTATAATTAAGAATGAATTAATTTAAAAATCCAATGTAACAAAAGAATGCCGTGTGATGGCGGCATATGAGAATCCATTATCACATTACGTCCCGTTGGTGTCGTAAGAGGCGATAATACAAATGACAGAAAAATTTTATAGCTTCTCAGAGATGGTGATAACCATTTCGTTTACATCAGACATAAAAAATCAAATTGATGAAAGCGTTAAAATTGCAAGCATTTGGTTATGCTATTCTTAAGCCGACTGCCAAGCGTGACGATTAGAGACCTATGTCTAACAATAGATGTTTCCATCAAATTGTTCCTGAAGTGAGCTTAAATACTAACCTTGTATTTATAAGAAACGGGCCTAGTATTTCTACATTCTTATAACATTTAGATATCACTCATGCTCACATTATATGACCGCGAGGTGGCGGTGTGAGAATGTCCACTGCCCCTTTTCGTCTCTCTCACCCCTATCGATGGATGCCTATGCCTATTTAGGAGTCAGCCTATTGGTTTTAAGTGAATTAGATAGATTAGGACACGAGAGAGAGATTAAAAGGCTTCTAACACGCTGCAGCTATATTATAATAGTAGCACGAATGGGTCGGCTCCATTGGGGTAGGACCACGTTCTCACAAAATACCAGTGTAAAGTAGCAGCTTCATATTGCTGTGTTTCGTATGGTGAGTGTAGAGAACTGGAGACGCTTTTTACTGGAAAAAAGGCATTCTGCCTTAGTCCTCACGGGTGACAACGCATCTACATTTTGATTCTTTATCGAGGATAGACGTATGGAGATGTCTATGGGTCACAGCAACCACTTACCATCAGGTGGACTGTGTGCTCGTTTATCACCCTTATTCAAGAAATAAAAAAGTCTAAACAAAGGGTGGGGTATAGTAGAGTTATAAAAGGCTTTTATTTTCTAACTATAATGTAAGCTCATTTAATTGTTGATACGGTTCCAATACTACCTAAGAATTCATCTGGGTTTATACTACTTACTGCAACTAAGTGCTGCCGAGCGTAGTGCAGTGTTACCAAGTATATCGTAGTAATAACAAGGGTAGCGCAATGCTACCTAGCTTTTACCAGTGCATCTAAGAGTAGCGTAGTGCTACCTATCATAGTGCAGTACTGAAGAGTGTAGCGTTATGCTACCAAGCGTAGCGCAGTGATGTCGAGAGCAGCGTAGTCTGTAAACATTTGACTGCTGAGCCGTGGGCCACGGTTTCTATTCAAAACACGTTTTTTGAACAAGAATTTGAATGATCCACAAATATTTGTCTTGAGTTTGAACGTTTTTCTATTTTTATATAATGTAAAAACACCGCCATCACATATTTTTAATCTTTAACGAAATTTAAAATGTTTTAATAATTTAAATAGATCAGTCAAAATATCTAGTATTGAATCTAAAAAATAAAATTTCCGCATTATATTATCTGCTCTTTCTTTGTTTTATTTTGGGTAACCTGAATACTACTTAGTGTTAATAGTATTGTCAGTATTTTTTGTAATAAAATCAGGAGATGAATACCATGACGTTGATTATTACACAGCGTACGTGGCCCCAATTCGTTGATTGGCCGATAATGGAGCAGAGTGAGGCTAATTACGTAAGCACTATAATTGTACAGTTACTACATCATAGATAGATGAACGAAAGAAATATATTAATTTCTTACATTAAAACCAAACTGCTGTTGTCGATAGTTGTTGGGAGCACTAAACTCGAAGTTTTTGACGAGTATGGTTACCTGGGACAAATAGTCCGACAAGGTAAGTCAAACTCCGACCGAGAGGTCAATCGACGGATTCAGTTCGGCTGTGCAGCGTTCGGGATATTGTGGCACATCTTCTCGTCAGGTATACTTCAAAACTTGAAAACCAGACTGTACAACCAATGCGTGTTGCCAGTGATGACCTATGGAACTGAGACGTGGCCCTTCACTGCTGCTGGATGAGGTAGCTCAAGTTCGATCAGCGAGCTATGGAGAGGGCTATACTCGGATTTTCTCTGTGTGATAAACTTAGAAGTGAGGATATCCGCAGTAGAACCGGTGTGACCAACATAGCCTAACGGATTAGTAAGCTGAAGTGGCAATGGGCCGGCTATATAGCTCGAGGAACCAACACTCGATAGAGAATCAAGGTTCTTGAGTGGTAGCCTCGTAACAGCAGAAGAAGTGTAAGGTGTCCCTTTGATGGAGTGACGACCTGGTAAGACCGAGGAAGGGATGGATGAAAATGACTCAGGACCGTGTTTTATGGCATTTCTTGGGAGAGGACTATGTTCAGGAGCGGACTTGTAAAGGGCTGTAATGATGATGATGACTGTAGTCGAAATGAAAATACTTTTTTTTAATCTACTTTAAACGTTCTAAGAATTTCCTTTACTTGCTAAGTTTCTATCACATAATACATAATAACGTGGCAAGCGCTAAAATGTAATTTTTCGTTTGCTCCTTAATGTCACACAGATATCGTAGTTTGAAATACATAACGCTTGGGAAATCTGTGGCGGTGTTCTCATCGTTTACGTTTCTGTCTACTTAGCGGTAAGTTATTTGTTAAGTAATAAGTTTAAACGAGAAAATCGTAGAAAAACTGTATTTTGTACTAATCTTAATATGTAAATAGTAAACAAAGTTTCTGAAGTTCAATAAGTTACCTTAGTCGTAAATTGGAAACTATCGCATAGTGTTAAATAAAACTTGATTTTCTTACGAATCTAATCGCATTTAAATTTCTTAAAATATTAGTTATAAATGGTGTATTATTGGAAAATATAAGAAAAATAACTACCTTGTTAGTCTAGACGCAACTGCTTATCTTATGGTACCGGGTTTGAATCCCAGGTAGGGTTGAAATCACTTATTAGCTTTTTCTATTTAAATTTAAATTTTTTAGAAAAAGCCATTAGGAACTTGGCGGTGATTCACACTCGTGCTTCAGATAGATCTCTCACCGAACGTGTCAGATTGTTTTACCATCGGACTATAAGAATGAGGGAATAGTACCTGTGTTTTTGCACACATCCAATAACCCTGTACTGCGCAAATAACTAGTCTCTGTTGAGACTGACTGCCTTGACAAATTCTAAAAAGTATTATTATTTTGGATATTTTTGCATTCTCGTCTGGTTGGCGAGTTGGCGAGGCTTTCGTGTTTGTCTGTTCGGATGAAATTAAGTAACTGATTTTAAACTAATTTCCCGATGAGATAGACTTGAAATTTTGAACATAGCTCAGAATCG